TATATATATAATTTTAAATATATAAATTTCAGAAAGACACCAAATTGTATGAAATAAAACTGATGCCGCAGTCTGGCGGGTGTAGGTTTGAAGCTAGCTAATGATTAATAACCCTTAAAGTCAGGAAACGGTTTATCAAAAAATATACACGATGACTTTAAATACTTTAAAGAAAGTAAATTGAAAGATATGTAATTATTGGTTATCAAATCTAGAACATTATGTATTTTAAATGGTCTCTGTACAACTACGCCTTCCTATATATGCCATGGCAACGTGAAACAACATCGATCAACATACAGGGAAATCTTAAATTGTAATGTAAATTTTGGTAAGTTAATTAGCTGTACGCTGTTCGTGAAAAACAGAACAAACCAGCTATGGAGGTGATCTCAGTTTAAATCGAGCCAGAGACAATTACACATCCCGCGTGATATGAAACGAAATCCATGATGCTCTGATGATGCGACAAAGCTTTCAACTTGTCTGGGTCAATTGATTCACCTCCCTGACGGTTGCCCAAGAAAATTGTGATGCATTTTCCTACAGAGAATACTGAACTGTAAAATGAAGTAATGACGAAGACAACACCAGTGCAGAGATTAAACTGTGGGCTGAAAAACAACAGAAATCTTGTGGTTCCGCGACAAGAACGGGATCATTCAAAGGGCATCTCGATTACACATTCTTGTGTTTCTATTGTCAAGTCTGTCAAGTTCGTATCATATTACTAAAAGTTTTTGAATAATTAATAACAAGTTGTCATTTCCGAAAATCACGCTTGAAAATTATATCGCTTTAAACATGTTCTTGTCTCGTCGACGCCAGGAAGAAAAAATCGCACATACTTTGAGACGAACTTTATTTTCAGAGGAAATGCTTAAAACTTAAATTTGGTCCATTACCTATAATATCTTCAGCTGCTCACAGTGTGGCGTGATCCAGAAGAGTGCCGTCCTTGTCGATACTTTCTAGTTTCAGTTTCGCTGGCATTTTATAGAGCTGAACAGTGATTTCTCGAAGACACACAGATTGTGTGACCAATACCGCTTACATCTCTCCGTACCACATCGATGAAAGAGATACTCAAACATCGGAATCAATAGAGAGGCACCCGTGTCAAACCGAGACTTAACTTGTCATAGTAAGCTAGCCTGAAGGCGTTTTCTCAAAGCAAGAAACACGGAAGTAATCACCAAAGTTCTCCTTTGTAAGCCATAATCAGTACATTTTAAACTTGCGAGACGTGACATGCTTTTAATGTCTTTGTCTTGTATTCTTAAAATAAAGAAATCTTTTTCCTAAATCACCTTTTGTGAGATTTTTAGTTGACTAATACTGATCGGTTGTGGGAGCAATCTTTCATACATCAGTGAACTCAATTAATGTCGCTCTCCTGGTCCCACAAAATTGCCGTACAAACACATTTAAACTCTTGTAAATGTCATATGGAAAAAATATACTTCTCGCAAAGAGAAGCCTGTTAAATGTGGCGGAGATGATCATGAATGCGACGCAAGAAATTCTCGGTATCATTTGTCTATCTATTTTAAGTTCTCACCGTTGATTCTTTAACGCCCAGTTGAACTAAGAAATTATGCTCATAGGATTCAACCGAGGGAACTCCACGAAGACAAAGGAATCATCTGTTGATAAGAAACAAACTAGCATTACTTTTTCTAAACCTTGCGAAAGCTCGACAAACCGAAACTCACCTTATTTCCGACAGAAGTATGCTGAAAGTCACGGGTTCAAATATACTTTCTCGCTCTCCCCAAGCTCGCGCAATAAAAAATGTCACCATTTTAGTCTGGAAGCCCGTCTGGGGATCTTATATCAGGACCAATTTGTGCTTCAGTGCACTGAAAAGTTTTCCGTGAGAGAAGGCTCAGGAAAAGTAAAAAACTGTGAGTCTTTCCAATACAAAATACATGTTCAATCAAACGTGTGAAAGCCTGTAATAGTTTCCATTTTACTGAAGTAATTGTGTATCACACAAAGAACTAACATACTGTGTACGCTGTTATACCTCATGAATAAACAGTATCATAGAGTGAAATAATTACACGTATTTGGGCTGTCAGTGACTTAGTGTTCCTCCAAAATAACCGACCTTTCCTCGTCTCCCTAGCCGGGGATCTGGGGGAAGTGGGGGAACCATAACAACGTTTTAGGGGTTGTGTTAAGCCAATAGATTATAGTCTCTTAGCTTAGCTGATCGTGATTTGTTTATGCTGCGAGAGAGACTCAACGAGTATGTGGTTATTATCAATAAAAGTGCCTCAGTGCCTTTATCTGGTGGGAAGTGTTAAAATATGGCTGATAATTTGTATAAAGCGAGAGAATTGAACATCGAAAAACTGGAACTGAAAGAATCGGTTTAGCTCCAAATTTATCTAGGATCGAGTTTGAATTTCTATCAAATAGAGTTATTTGCATCTCTCAGCTACGATTCATCAACATTTAAATAAGCCGACAGTTAGTTATCTATTTCTCCTCTACCGTTGTGAGTAAAAGTGACACAAAAGCTTGTCGACGACTTTCGGACGGTCTTTCACAGTTGTAAACTCATTTGAATTACAAATATATTTTTTGAAATTTTAATATATTCATATTTACAATCAGGCTTGCACGTGGAAGAAGGTTCTGAACTACAAGAAATTTGAACATCACTTGCAGCTTCTTTGAGACCAGGAAACACGTCATTTTAAACCTATTATCTTGTATATTGTCGGTTCTGTGAAGGGCCACAGTGCGTTTATTCGGCTAGCTTGAGGGTTGCCGAAGTAAGTGGTTCAAATTTAACGTTGAGGATTGATTGATCGGTCGTCTTGTCGCTAATTTCTCCTTCAAGGTATGTGAATAATTTACGTATAAACACATTTGTAACACAAATTAGCATTTGCATTTCTCTATGTTGCACTGGAAAATTAAACTAAATGGTCTAAAGGAATAGCATGTGACACGCAGTAGCGTGATCATGAAAATACAATCCTCAATATGGCCACCACCTTGACATAACAGTTCTTATCAAACCGCGAGATTTTCACGGAAACAGCAACAAATTTTCTCTTTATCGTTCGTTTATTATTTAATCCCATCTTGTAAGTTACGGTTGCGGATGGTACAATGTTCTTTTTACCTCGAAAATTTATCGAATATATCGAGATGGACTCTGCAGGAGAAATAACTTGCATTTCCTGTACACGTTGTCATGTGCACAAGGAATGCATTCATTTATAAATAACCAAAGACAAAAATAAAGGAAGTTGCATACATGATAATCCTTTTTTTTCCTCCGAATTTTCTCATCACTGTTTTTTAAATTGACTTGCAGTCATGAATTACGGCCTTTTTGCTTTGATGAAACAGTGCTAGTGCTCTGAATCTAGTGATAGCGAACCACTGTTATTAAAGACATACCAGGTCACTGTCTTACTAAGTTACTCTAGCAACGGTTTCGCTTACCAGGTTCCTATGTAAAGTTGAGGTGAAGTTCCAATATTTAAAGTGAGCTTTGTGATCCCTGTTTTTGTGTGCGAGAATATTTACAACGTCAGTGAAATAAGTTTCCTGTCGAAACTGTTAATACACAGTCTGTAGGCCGTAGGTGAATTTGTCTGCCAGGACTTTGACCTCATAATAGACGAACAAATTATCCGTTTATCAACAAAATATTTAACTTTTTTTTTCTACGGAACAGCGCCCAGTACAAAATTAGAAGATCGTATCTAAATCAAGGAAATCATGACTTGAATGGAAAATAGGATAACCTCAAGGTTGGTTGTTCAGTTTTTGTTTTTTCAAAGATAGCTTAACTTTCTGCGAATGCAAGACTTATCCGCACTGAATGGATGTCTAAATTTCAAAAACAGACAGGGTCAAAACTAATGTAAAACTGCAATACCAAAAATATATCTGGTTTCTTTAATATTTGATTGTTTTTAAATATTCTCCAGTTGAGATAGTTTTGAGCAGAGAATGGAACCGCAAGTTTCACGAGACAGAACTATTTTCTAGTTTATGTTGATGATGACACACAAGAAATGTCATACGATTTTCATACGTTTTTTTGACCTTTAATCTCTCTTACCTTGTTACCATAGCAACTGTTTAGGGTCATATTTCTGAAAGTTTTTTTGGTTTTTTTTTTAATTTTATATGAATATGGCAAAGAAACCATTTGAAGTTTAGTATATGACCAATGAAAATAATTTTTTCGACCGATTTGCTTCGTCCTTTTAAAATACTTAATCACCTAAGCAGAGATAATTTTCATTTCCGTAACGATAAAGGTGATTTAAAAGGCTTCCAAACAAACTTT